CTAAAGTTTTGTTTGGTAGCTCACTAAAAATAGGCTTACTGGATTACACTTGAAGTCATAATAGTCATCCAGAAACTAGTTTATGGGGAAAAAAAAGATCTGAGTAATTCTGGGCTTAGATAATAAAACTTGAGATAGCAGTAAGGATTAAGAATGCACTCTTGACTTCATATATTCTGTTTTCAGAAATGTTGCTAGAGCTTTCTGAATAGCTTGCATTGCATCTGTTTCTCTAGAGACTGCAAGGAAGTGTAGTATACAAAAAGGCTGGACATGACTGCTAACCTCTTTTGCCCTCTCTTGTCAAGTCTCATTCCTCTTTGTTTCCCTTGCAAAATCATATATTTACCATCAAGATAAGTTTGAGAACTGGCTGCATGTTTACCAGTTTCAGCATATGTTATCTCTTACAGTAGAATTAACTACTTCAAATTCTTCTTGAGTAACCAGAATATGTAATAATTAAATGTCAGATAATGTACCCCCTTTCAACAGCAGTAACTGATGTCATTTCAGACTGCACAAACTTCCCTGTAGGTTGCCAATAACCCAGTTGTTCATCTGTGGGTCATCACCTTTAAGTACTATATGTGATTCATAAAGACTTTCGAAAATAAACACTTTTTGGGTGTATTAAAATTTATCTTTCTACTAGGTTGCAGACTGTAATAAAAATAAAATAAAAAACCAAACCCCTGATAACTTAATGTTCTTCTGTTATTACTGTTTTTTACCCACCTCTGAATCAAGTGCATTGATGTGAACTTTGCAGATTTCTATGTTTAGGTAGATGGGTGACATTAAAGAGTTCCCCTAACTGTCTTAGACATACATTAAATACCACTAGGGAAGAAAAAAAAGCAACTTTTTGTAAACAAAAATGTGTATGGACAGAAGAAAATCCAGTGTAAATGCAGAGCAGGCTATCCTCTTTGTAGCCTTGGAGGAAAATTGGGCATTGCTGTGCATTCTGAAAATTTGTGAGGTGAAGAATTCTGAAATTATGGTTTGTATTAAAGAACATCCTGAAGAATTTTCTCTTGGAATACAGAAAGGCTTAAACAGTATGTCTAGACTGTTTCATGGCTGTGTGGATCAAAACTATTCAAGTCAGCACTTACAGGAAGGACACGTACTGGAGCACAAATGTCTTATGCTTGTGATGAAAAGTTTCTCTCAAGGAGATAACTACATTTCTGCAGTAGATTTAGTTTGAGTTCATTTGCTAAGTAACTGTAGAGTGTATTATTATAATCTTTATGCTGAGCTGACAGTTTTTAAGCCATGTTTTCTTGTTTTGTATCTGGAAGAAGGGGACTTATCCTCTTAGCCTGATATAAATAAATAAATAAATAACTTTAAAAAAGATGTTCTGGTAAAAGTGACTTCTGCAGACAAGAAGTTAGAAGAACACACATTTTTGCAAGATGGATTAACAAATGAACAAATAAATATACATGTGTATTTGCACTAGTATAAATGGAATGAGGAATTAAGAACTTTACATAACACCATCCGGACACCGTCCCTTCCTCTTTGTTTGGTTTTTAAGATGTGGCTAAGAAGCCCTTGTTTTGGAAACAATATCTAAAAAAGCACACTATTAGAGATGTACATAGTTCAAGGTATTAAGGTGTAGTTATAAATGTCTGTAGAGCTGTGATTAGCAGCTGTGATGTTTAGCATCAAAACCTGATAGACATAGACCTGGGTACCGCAAGAGAAATAATTTTAGATCTTGTGACAAAGTACTCTCTTGAACTCCAAATACCCTTGAAAGCTTTGGGGCTTTGCATATAATGAAACACTGTTACAGCTAAAGTATTGGGATGCTCACTGATATTTTTGAACTTTCTTTACCTGAACCCAAACTGTGGCAGTGTTAGAAATCAGCATAATGCAGAATTTATTCAAGAAGTATTTTTTAAAAAAACTTGATTAAATTATGCAGTTTTGAGAATGTTCAGCAGTATTTTTATTTCTGTATTATGCTGTGCATATGTATTCTTAAATCATCAGCTGATTATCTGTGTTGCTACAAAGAAAAAATACAGTACATCAATAAATCAATCATTACACCCCCTGGATGTCTGAACCAAAGTCCACACTGCAGATGGAATTGGTATGGTTCTTAGTTTGTGTACATGCATGAATGTAAATTTCAGAGTCTTTGAGCTCAAGTATTTTAGGGGTTTTATGACCTCTTTTACTAATTAAAATAAATTTTAAAACCCTTTTCATTTACTTAAGTTATATTTATTATTTTCCTCATACCAAGTTTGGTATATTCTGGACTTTCTTGAAATGCCTTATCACCAGAACTTAATTAGTTTTTGTTCTTGTTGAAAAAATTTTTAGTGGGCTAACACTGCCTTTAAACAGCCAAAACGTCAACTGGCATCAGTTGATTCCATAAGGAGTGCAGGAGTGGGATCCTTGGTAGCAATGGGAAAAGATTTTAGCTAGCAATCAGATCTTCATGTTGGTCTTCTCTTACTTTTTTTTCTTCAGTTCTGTGCATGAGCTTAGGTTATTTTTGGATCAAACTCCAAAGGCATTGTGATGAGCACTGTAAAATCTTAAAACTTTCTCCCCTTACTTGCAGATGAGAATCCAGTGTTTGTTACATATGTATCCCTAAAAAACACCTGAAGAGAGCTAGGCATCTTACAATTGGAGCTACAGAGCTTGTATGCTGCGTTGGCTTAAAAATAGAATACTATTTTTAGCTTGTGGCATTTGACTACCATTGGAAAATGCTGTGAATAAACATTATCAAATCTCTACCTGTCTTAAACAGTGCTTTTACGGTGGTGCTTAGCTTAACTTAAGGTTCAGGAGTTTGAATAATCCCCCAAAGGAAGACACCAGAACATCTAGTAGGGGGTTCATCCTCTTTGAAATAGCAGGAGAAAATGAGGTGCCAGTAACAGCTAATGGATAAAATTCACAAATGGTCCTTGGAGCAGAAACAGGGACCCAAAACTTTTCCTTCTAACCTGACTGCCTTAACCACTGAGATGGATTATTTTATGCAAAGGAAGACAGCTTCAACAAAAGAATGTGAGACATGTGACCCTAATCTGGAATACTCTGGGAGTTTAAAATTTTCCTGGACAGAATGGGCAATATATGCAATATAGCAATTTCCCTCAGGCAAAAAAGTGGAACAGAATTTACATCTCTTCAGCTCTTTCATAAAGGTGTTGGGGAGCAGGAGGGAACTGTTACATGTTTTAAAAGAAAAGAGGTGTCCCTGCGTATTTATTGATCTTTCAGATGTTCAGTTACCACGTTGACTGAATAAAAAAAATCAGCTCTTCAAAAATCCCCCCATCTAGCTCCTGGATCCCTACTGGGTTTGAAGTATGTGTCAAACTGTGCTGCTCTGTCAACACTGAAGCTTTTATTGACATGTGCAGACGTAGGATGTTAAACTGAAGAGCCCAGTTCCTGTGCTGATTGTCAGCTGAAAGTGTTTTTTCAGAATGAGTATTTTGTAGCTAGGTGCCTAGACTCCCTTCAAACCCTTTCTGAGGACTGGCACACAAAATGTTTTCAATAACAGTCCTAAATTGTTAAAAAGAGCTGTAATGCGGGTTTTGCTTAAATGCAAATATTTGAACCTGAACAGATGCATTAGCAAATGTTAACTGAAAAAAAATTATAACGATGGAACAGTTTTATGTGTTAATATAGAGTCTATGATTTTTTTCTCTTTCACAGGAAACATGATGGGGCTGTTGTAAATTTAATCATTTGTAATTTGTATAATTGTGTAAACACATGCTTACATGTTTATTTTTACATTTTATATTAATATCACATTTACCTCAAGGTTATTTGAAACATTCAGCTAGAACAACTGTGCATTTTGTAGTGTTGGGATTCTCATGGAGACATAATGCTGTTTCAATAAACTACGGTGTATTTGTTCTGTTTTGCTATGCAATAAACTATCAATTGGAACAAATCAGTTTCATTCAGATTTTCTTAATTTTCTCATGGGTATCCATATTGTCCCTAATACTGCTTTGTTTTTTCTTTTTTTTTACTTCCTCGCAGGATGCTAATGGCCTATGTTACCCTTCAAGCAAAAGCCACGAACAGACTTTTGCCTACTTGATTGTGGATCCCTGCAAGCGACACGTGAATACGCTGTATCACTGTTTCGGTGGAGGCGTATTTGCTAACTAGTTACGAACCCCAGTTTTACAATGGAGGCGGCCTTCTCTCTGCATGGATTCAGGTAGAAAATGCATACTTTTCTGACGAGGAACGATGTGCTCCTTGATTACAGGCTCGGAAGTGCTTCACGTTTACTCAGATGTTACTACGGAGTTAGTGACAAAAGTTTTCCTGTATTTATAGTTCTTGACGCTGTTTTCTTGGCAGTGCCCCCCTCCCTTCACCCGTTTTATCTAATAAAAAGTATTTCCCCAAAGGTCCCGTCCCTTTAATGAGCCAGTTTCACAGACCCACGGCGCGTAACTGCGGGGCAGGCTCTGCGGGACCGGGAAAAAGCGCGGGAGGGGGCCGATCGGAGGGGGGGTGTCCCAGGCCGATGCCCCGTTTCGGGCCGGGGGACAGCCGAGCACGGCCGCCCCTCCCCACCCCCTCGCGGAGCGGCCTCCTGGAAGTTGGATAGAAGTTAGGGCGAAAAAAAAATTCTGGTTGGCGGCACTGCTCCGTGTCGGCCGCAGGCGGGCGGGCGGCAGCCGGGAGAGGTGCGGGCGGGCGCACAGAGAGAGGCGGAGGGGCGAGGGCCGAACGCGGTCCGAGGCGGGTGCGGTGCGGGTCCGGCGCGGGGTGCGGGGGTCCCGGGCAGCGGCCCCGCGCCGGGAGCCTCCCGTGCGGGAGGCGGTGCGGGCGGGCGCGCGCAGAAGCGCGACGAGGCACAAGCTGCCTCTGTCGGATACGGTGCGGGCGGGCTCAGGAGGGGCGGGGCCGGCGGCGGAGAGTGAGTGATTCGGGCGGGCGTAACTGCGAACTTTTGTTTGGTGTGTTGTGTGAGTTAGTTTCCGCCGCCGGGACAGAGGCGCCGGCCGGGCTGGGCCGGGCTCGGGGAAGCGCCGCACGGTCAAAGTTGTTTTGCCAGTTGCTGCGGCCGGGTCGGTCTCCCGACCGAAGGGTGAGAAAGTACCGGCGACAGAAGGACGAGCTGCGGCCCGGGGAGCGGGGCATGCGGGGCTGGGAATCCGGGCTCTGAGCCGTCGATCCCCGCCAGGGAAGTGCCGGGGGGTCCTGACGGAGCCATGGATCCCGGGCAGCCTCAAGCGCAGCAGCCGCCGCAGGCAGCGCAGCCCCCGGCCCCGCAGCAGCAGCAGCAGCCGCCGCAGCCCCCGGGCGCGGTGTCGGGGGCCTCGGCCGGCGCGGCGCAGCCCCCGGGCGCGGGGCCCCCTCCGGCGGGGCACCAGATCGTCCATGTGCGGGGCGACTCGGAGACCGACTTGGAGGCGCTGTTCAACGCCGTGATGAACCCCAAGGGCGCCAACGTGCCGCACACGCTGCCCATGCGGCTGCGGAAACTGCCCGACTCCTTCTTCAAGCCGCCCGAGCCCAAGGCCCACTCCCGCCAGGTGAGGGGGAGCGGAGGAGGGGCCGCTTGCGGGCGGGCGGGGGCCGGCGGGACGGCCCGGCCGAGCTCCCTCTCCCTGCCGCCGCCGCCGAGCTCCTCCCGGGGGAGGCGTATGGGGGAGGGGGCCGGGGCGGGAATCTGCGGGGCCGAGCGGGGCGGGGGGCGCCCGGCCGGGGCTGCCGGGGCGCTCTGTGCCGCCCGCCGGAGGAGTGTGTCCCCCCATCCCTTCATTTGTTCTTCCCCAGGAGCGGGGGCGCCGCGCGGCCCCTGTCGCGCCTCTCGCGCTGGGACCTGGACGGGGATCCGGACGGGGACCGGGGCCGGGACCGCGGCGGGCGGGCGGGCGGGCGCTGACGCCGTCCCAGTGTCCGGCGGGGACATCCGCTCCTTGGCTTTCTCGGCTTCGCCGGGACCGCGGCGGTGGGGGTGAGGCCCTAAAACTTGGGAGAAAACGCTTTGCTTGGAAGACGGGGAGAATTTCTCTCTGCGGTCCAATTCCCTGCCTTCTGTGAAGGGGGGGTGATGAGGCGGTGCCAAACCTACACCCCCCCGCCCCGTCAGACAATATGGATGTGGCTTTTCCACCATTTCGGCACTGCGCCGGGTAGAGTAGGATTAACCCTTTCACATAGAGACGCACGCACATCCGAAGTTAATTTCAAACTGAGCCAGACATCAGGTGTGACGGCGTCGAGGGTCCGACCGGGCGCACCTCTCGCATCCCGGGAGTCGCTGGACTCGGACCTGTGGGGCCTCGGCCGTGCTAGCCCGGGCGAGGGAGGGATGCGGGGCAGGGCCGAGGAGGGAGCGGGGGAGGGATGCGGGGCAGGGCCGGGAAGGGGGGGCGGGGCGGGGCAGGGCCGAGGGGGGAAGGGGCGATGCGAGGGCAGGGCGGAGGAGGAGCGCGGTGGGGGATACGGAGCAGGGTCGTCCCTCGGCCTCCGGGAGCGTTTCGTCTTCAAGCGGAGGGAGTTTTGTGCCAAGACCTAAATGCTGGTGTAAATACGGCTGAAAGTTAACGTTTAGGCCGCTGTTACCAATTTTTTGGCAGGAGGCTGTGCCTGCCTACTCGAGTGTTATTAAGTAATGAACTTTGTTGCTAAGCTATAAAATAGGTTTTATTATTGGCTATTGTCACTTTATCTGTGTAGCCAGTAAAAGTGAAACTCGCTGTGTGGACTGTTGCCTGCTACCCTTGTTGTTAAGGGTCTGTCAACATTTCCATTATTAAACTTCTGTTTTGAAGGATTTATAACTTGACTTCTGAAGTTCATTCCAGGCTGAACCTTGGCACGTTCTCTCCCAGCCTAGGAGTTAATTCATTTTCCAAATACTCGAAAAATCAGTCTGGCCTTCATATACCAAGACTGAAAAGAAAATCGAAAGGAGTGGAGATGAGTTGCTTCTGTAATTTTGCTAGCTTCTGAGTTGCAGACCTTTAATAACATACTGAATTCCAGCAAAGAAAAAGGATTTTATGTACAGTCTTTTTCCAACTTGAGCAAATCTTATCGCAGTTCCATTGTGTACAAATCTGAATAGGTAGACATTCATCTAAAGCTTGGTGTTGTGTTTTGTTAAATACAGTAACTGCAGTTAAGTAGCTATCGTGTTTGAAATGCACTTAACGTCTGTGATGTTCCTACAGCTTGCACTTTTAAGCTTAGCCTTATCTTCTTTGTGTATGTTACTCTTCATCTGCAATGCATATTTAGTTGGATCACTGTTCCTTGTACCACTCGGTGGTTGTTAAAATATAAACTTGAAGCCAAAGAATCATTTGCTTCACTGTGGACTTTTAAAATACGACTATTTTCACTTTCCTTTTTGTTTAGTTGTGCCACAAAAACATTCTCTTTAAAGAAAAGGTCTTTCATTTTCTGCAGTTTCCCCTGATTCTCAGGAATCAAGATGCCACAAATTCAGTTGATTTGCTACTCGATATTTTTTTAAAATGTAAATGCAAGCTAATTCGTTTCCAGTTGAATACGTGGAAGTTCACGTGTGCTTGCATACAGATGGAGTGAAGCATAATTGTCAGTCTCCATAAGAGTGTGTAAGTGGGGCCTCACATATGGTGCAATACCTTGTGTAGAGAGGTGTGACAAGGGCTGATACATGCATTTCATTATGGGTATCCATGTTGTTCTGCTGTATCTATAAAACCAGTTAATTGGCAAATATATTTTAAAAAGCCATTTTTACTTCAATCAGGTCTTCAGAGCTGCCTTTTCTGTTCCATGGTGGATCTGTATTTACTACTGGCAAGGACATTCTTTGTGCTTGTAACTGATGGCTCCAGTGAATGGTTTTGTGAATCACTTCAGATTGACTGGTTCAACCATTTCCTGAAGCTTTGCTTTGGATAAAGCATGGACAGACTCTTTAAACCCTCGAAAGCGTGGATTGTTAGGAAATTCTGTGTTCAGTATTTTCGTATATGTTTTCTTTATGGTTGAATTCGTGAGTCTTCCTCCATTGGACCTCACTGCTGCCAGTTGGCATTTCTCTATTGCTTTTCTCTTTGGATAATCTTTTAAACCCTACAGAGGGTCTGTGTGTGGGTGTACTTGAACCCCCACACCCCTCTTTCAAAAAGAGTGGGAAATTACCTCCTCCAGTAGAAAGCGGGTTTGATGGTGGTGAGTGGGTGCAGTCCAGTAATGAACCACTCTATAGTGTATGAGGTCTGCTGACTGCGGGCAGGTTTTTTTCTGAACCCTGCACCAAGGAGTAAGAGTTGTAGTTTTCAAAGTAAAACTAAGGGCGCTTAGCACATACTTAGTGGTAATAGGTCTTGACTAGGGCTTTTGTGATGCTAATTAACCAGACTACTTGGAGGCTCTCTTGAACGGCATCAACTGGAAAATAAGCAGAATTTAGAATGACTGACTTAAGAATTTCTCCTGAAAGGTTCATTTAAAGCGAAATGTTATTTGACAGCTGCATTTCTGCTGAAATATAAGAATTTTAATGGGAATAATTTCACTCCTGGCAGGCTAGCACTGATGCAGGGACAGCAGGAGCCCTAACCCCACAGCATGTCCGAGCTCATTCCTCTCCAGCATCACTGCAGCTGGGAGCTGTTTCTCCAGGGACGCTTACACCCTCTGGAGTAGTGACTGGACCTGGAGCTCCATCTTCTCAACATCTGCGCCAGTCTTCATTTGAGATCCCTGATGATGTACCTTTGCCACCAGGCTGGGAGATGGCTAAGACACCATCTGGACAGAGATACTTTCTTAAGTAAGTAAAATTTCTTTTCAGTTAGCTGTATCTCTGGTGCTTGTTGGGATATATTTTATACTTTTTTTACAGTCTTTGAATTTTAGTAAATTTCATTGTGTTTAAAATATGTATTTCTAAAAACATGCTCCTAATTTGAAGTAGGAGAGCCTACCACTTTCGTACTTCTCCCGTATTAACTCTCTGCTGTATCTAAAAACTTTATGATACTCTGTGAATATTCATCTTACCTTAATCTTAGCTGAAGAATGTTATCGGTTGTATTGTCTACTAACAATCAGTGAAGCGCACATAGTGATTTTTAAACAATGTGACGTTTGGATTTGCTGAATCTTGTCAGAGTTGTCATGGAGGTCAAGATACATTTTACTTCATTTTTATAATACAGATGTAAAAATATAGAGTAACTTTAGAAACTGTTCTAGTGACTGTATATCAAGACTTTTTATCTCTTGATTTAGAACAGTTGTGTAACTACGCAATCAAAATGTTTTTGCCTACTCTCTATTCATGAGGAAATTAATATATGTGTTTGAGTGCAGTATTTGAGTCTGTAACTTCTCTACATTTTCTGCAGTGAAATGGAAATTAACAGAACTTGTAACATTGTTTCATGCTCCTACAGCTGTAGCTTTTTCACACAGTGAAATTAGTATCACCTCTCCTATAACTGAAGAGAGGTTACACATGCCAGCCATCTGACACCTAATCCATAAGGGAGCATTTTCTTTTATTCTGCACAGTTTTCTAAAACAGCAGGAGCTTGTCCTTCTCTTTCTGAGACCATAATTTGCCCTCAAATATTTTGGTTATATTTTAAACTTTTTATTTAACTGCAAGTCTCTAAATAACCCATTATATGTCATTTTCAGGGCCGGGATAGGCAACGCTGTGTTACTTATATAAAACTCGTTTCAGCCAAGAAAAACATCTTTATCCCTACCTTTCTTGCGTAGACATTGTCATTTATATGTGCATCTGATTGAAGTAATTGAGTTTGTAGCTTCAAAAACAAACTTACCTTGTCTTCAATGAAAGTGGAACTTGCAGAACTTTTTAAAAATGTGTTTTGTTCCTGTAGGGGTGGCGTTTCCATACAGAGAAGTTAGCTTTTTTTTTTTTAACCAAAAAGAGGTTGCAAATGTCTGACATTTGAGTCTGAAGGTTGTTTTTTGAAAATAATCATTCTCTGTCAGGAGCATGAAAATAAGCATTAGCTATAGAGCCTGAAGATGGGATATTTTCTAAAAAATCAGCATGTTCTAGAATGTGAACTTTTCAGCAGGCACAAGTAGAAGTTTTTTTTGAACTGTGTAAGTTTATGCCGTTTGAGAACTGTAGCTCATTGGACCTTGAGGAAAGAACAGACTGTTTTGAAATAAAAAGCAAACTTTGTTTTGACTGTATTAGTGAGAGCTCTTAAAGAGCAGCTTATAAAGCACAAAAGATAGATATTTGATTTTTAGGTTTTACTGCCACAAGTGCTTGTTTTTGATAATGCTGTCAAATTTACAGAAAAATGGAACAGTTTAAGAGACGAAAAATGTCTTCATGCTCTTGTAATAAATTTTTTTAATTATGCTCATTCAGGTGAAAGCAGAGTGAAAGATGCATTCTTGGAAAGCTTTTTCTGCAGTTTGATTATTGCCACAAAAAATCTTTTCCTTTTTTCTGCAAGTTTTTTTGTCCTTTCTTGGTGTCCTGGTATCCATTTCAAAGGGTCAGGTTTCAGCAAGAACAATAAAGAGCCTGAGAGTGGAAAGTACACACAAGTCTGGCAAACTCATCTGCATGAGCAAGATCGTTTGTTCTCAAGCAGACATCCAAAGTAAATGATTGAAAGAGCTGCTAGCTGTGAAGGATGTGTCTTGAAGGGGAAAGGAGTGGAAACAAACCATATTGTTAGGAAGAAAAATAAAGGCTGTACTTTTTGAACCTCTCCCTGCTGGGTCCCATGCTGACCCTGGGAGATTTTAAACAGTGTAATAGGCTGTTTTCTTTTGGCTTTCCTTGGGTGATACTGTGGTATGGGAGAGTCTAATGAGGACAGTTCAGAAGGCTCTGTTCACACTTAAAGAACATGTGTTGTTCCTTAAAGGTTGCTTAACTCTATCTACAGGTGAGATCCACTGAGATCATTGGAGTTCATGAAGATTTGTAAAAAGCATTTCAAGACTTAGCAAAATGTTTGCTCTGTATGTGTAGGAAGTCTAAAGAAATGTAAGAATTAGCTTTGAGTAGCAAGTTTGTATATTAAAAGGTTTTTTCAGTGTTGAGTGATAAATTCTATCTCACATCTATAAGCCTGTTAAAAACTAACATCTTGCTTAGTTATACCTTAAACATTTGCTTGAAATGTGAATACTAAGATTTCTGATTCTAAATACATTTAGAGTGGTTCCTTCTACCATATGCAGATTTCTGGTGTCTTTTCCAAGTATTCAGCTTTTTGTTTTTTTGGGGGTTGGCTGCACCGCTTTTTGTTTCCATTTGCTCTGTTCTGTAGCCACTCCACGAACAGTCTGGTAACCGGGCTCTAGAAGGATCTTTGCCGAATAGGCAACAATGTTATATTTTTTCCAGATGTCAGTAAGCCTTATGGTTATAGTTATCATAATATACTACGGTGCAAACAGAATAAAATAAAATTGAGTACTGTACTTAATACACTTTGTAATTACAGTCACTTCCACTAATCGATGGGTCAAGTACTGCAAGCATTAGTTTGTGCAAAGAAATGAAAGTAGTGTATGTGGGAGAGAAAACATTTAATCGCCTGTGTGTGCATATATATATATATACACGCACAGAGTTATTTGGCCATGTATTTTATGTACACACCCCACATATCCGTAAATATTAAAAGAGGGTGAGAGTGGTAGTGTAGGGTTTGAACCAGAGCTACTCTTATAAATTAGTCAGTCAGCTAGATAAATAGACCCCTTTAGGTGTGAATGCCCAACATATGATTTACCAGAATTCCACTCATTAATGTTCATCTCACTGTTATGAGCAGTTCTGCTGCGTATAATTTTCCATTAGTGATGATTTTGAGCCATGAGTTAAGGCCACTACTATACAGCTGGTAAAACTAATCCTATTTCTTTACCGATACTGCTCCTTAAATTGAACTCATCAGTTAAGACTTGCCTAGTTAGTAAGTGGTCAGATCTGACTCATCCCAGCACTGCTGTGTGGTAGCTTTAGCCCATTCTTAAACATGCAGTATAAAAGCCGTGCTTGGTTTGTGTGGTGATGTCAATTGCATTGCTTTTTAACCGCTTCCTGTTAGCCAGCTGCTGGTTGACATTTTGGTGAACTATGGAGAAAGATAGGGGATCGCTCTCTAGGCAAAAGATAATATGCCATGGGAGTAGCAGGCAACTACTTGCAGAAAGAAAAAATAAGTTTTGATTAATTTTAGAGTTACTCTTGTATCATTTTAGCTTAGAGTTATGCTTTTAATTCTTACAAAGCTTGTCTAATACCGCTTCTTATGTTGTAGTGTGAGGAAAAGTTAACTGATTGTCCAGCAAACAAGTCTTATAATTATTTTTCCTACAGGAAGTAGTTCTTGCAAGCAGTTTATCAACAACTTCCTATTTTTTTTTCCTATGAAGTGTTGAATGACTTCCTGAAGGAGGCCAAGGTGGTTTTCATTAGTATCTGTGGGTGTGTTTGAGGTGTTTACCCATCTGGCAGAAACCTTAAAAATAGATTTCTGTTAAGCATTTCTTATGTGCTCCATACAGAGGTATGGCTTTGGACATTATGAAATGAGATCGTTTAAGACAACCGGGAAGTTTGTTGCTGTGCTTTTACTTTTTTTTTTTTGTTTAAATTTCCTCATGTCACACATGAAAAATACCCAGTGCTGCTGTTAAATTTCTCTTTCATCCCGTTTTTGCACCTGACTGGAGCCACCCACTACACCAATATCATCTGCTCCCCTCCTCCTCCCCACCTCACCAAAGTAATCTTAGTCTTCAAGGACAGAAGATGTTTATTGGAAAAGCTGCAGCCACAGTTAATTATTTTATTGAATACCTTAATTTATTGGGGAAATGCATATTCAGATTCATCAGTTAATGTGAGTTCTTGTGCTTACAGTTCAGTCTAGTTGGTCAGTAAAATAACGGTATTGTTGGAAACCAAAACTGCAACCACTGGTTTTGATGTATTTCTCCACTTTTTCATGCTTTTTGTACTGAAAAGTAGTTGAAGATGTCTGTTTGCTAAATTTTATTTGTAATATGTCAAGTTAGTTGCATTTTTATATTGATTTGACTGTTTAATGTAAGATTGAAGATCTACCCAAAAAAAGCCATAAAAAATGGGCACTGTCGGTTTTGGAACATAGCTTAAGAAAAGAAATATTATTAAAACACTTTTGAAGTAAAGCTTGCTGTAATATAGTTTTGGCAATTTAAGGGGGGTTTTTTGTCTTGGAAGATGGTCATAGTACTACCAAGTGTATATTTTTCTTTCTGTCTCTTACTTTGAGGAGTCCTATGAAAGAACAGTAACACAAGCTATTTGGAATTTGCAGTTGTACTAAAGATTTCTTTGTTTTTAAAAGGGCCGAGGAAGAATAAGGGCAAACCTGCCTTATTTGTTTTACCACTGAGACCGAGTTCAGAGGATGATGAAAGTACATACTCAGCCCAGTATGAATTCAGAGAACTTGCAGTCAGTTTTGCTTGATGGGCATCAGTGAAAGCAATTGCACACAGTACTTTGCTTGGGTTTGGTTTTTATTTTGCTTAAGAAAAATTGTAAATTATGATATCCATGCATTCAATACCCTACCGTACAAGGTGATTTTATAAGGCTAATTCCAAAAGCAGTTTAATAGATGTTTTATAGATGTGATTTCAGGTAAACCAGAACTATATCTTGTGGTTTTTGCTAATGTATCTTTCTCTTATTTATAGGCATCTTGACATTTATTATCTTCAGAAGAAATTAGAACTGGGGAAAATATAGAATCTCTGGCACTT